TCAAGGCTCTCTTTTCTACCTCCTCCATGTACAGGTTGGCAACAATAGGAGAAACTGGAGACCCCATAGCACACCCATGTTTCTGCCTATAATATTGCTCCCCATATGTGAAGTAGGTTGACTGCAGGCACTGTTTCAAAAGTTGACACAGTTGTTCTGTGGAAAGCGTGGTCCTGCTGCTCAGAGTGGTGTCTGATTTTAATCTTAAACTGACCACCTCTACTGCATCATCAACAAGAATGCACGTAAAGAGTGATGTGACATCAAAAGAGACCATTGTTTCATCAGTCTCCATGATGACATCCCTCACCTTACCCACAAAGTCCATGGTGTTCTGTATGTGGTTTTCTGAGCTGCCAGCTAAAGGGATGAGTACAGACTCCAGATATTTGGAAACATTGTAAATGACAGAGTTAATCATGCTAACAATTGGTCTTAAAGGTACACCTTGTTTGTGGATTTTAGGTAAACCATACAGACTAGGTGTGGCCTCCCCTGGGTACAGTCTGTGGTACAGAATAAGGTCAATAGCCTTGTCCTGCTCCAAATTTTTCAGGCAATCTATTAACTTCTTCTTGTAACCACTTCCTTGATCTCTTTTCAGAGGTTCATAAGTGGTTAAGTCACTAAGGAGTGTCTTAACTTTCTCATGAGAAAGTTATGACACTCCTTAGTGACTTAACCACAAGTTAGGAGTCATCAGGACTCTGTATCACAGAGCAGACAGCATCCCCACTAACTCAGGAGCCAGGCACAAGGAGAAATCCTATACAAGACAGGCTCTAGAGCAATGTGGATATCCTAACTGGGCCTTCCTGAAAGCAGAGAAGAAACCCAAACAGGACTCCAGTCAGCCATCAGGTGAAAAGGAAGAACCCAGACCCAGACCAGTGGTCATTCCATATGTTGAGGGAGTATCAGAGAAACTGAGATGTTTATTTTCTAAACATAACGTCCCAGTGGCTTTTAAACCCCAAAATACATTACGGCAAAGACTGGTTCATCCCAAAGATCCAGTCCTCCGGCACAAACAGAGTAATATTGTGTATGCTGTTGTTGTGGACCGTAGCCACGTCGTGTTCAAGACAGCTGAGACATCGC